AAAGATCTGTTACCTTTGAATTAGTTTATTTTGCTGCTTTTAATCATGAATACAACATACAGAACCCTATAAAAGTAGTGATAATTAAACAATATTAAAAACCAAAAGAACACATTCTGCCTCCTATTTGACACAAATAATATTTTGACATCTCTGACTTGCCAAATTTTTAAACCAATTTTATTTTCGCTTTCATCATTTTATTTTCAACTGCTTGTAGTTTTAACTGTCTTGAGTGTTTATAGAAATGGTTTATACCAGCTTGTAGCCAAGATTCTGATGTTTCTGTAGACACCAAACATGTCTATGTTTAACTAAAAGAACTTAGAGTAATTAAAGTAGAAAACCGACGGTTTGGGCTTTAGAGATGATTGAATCAATTGGCAAGCTGGATGTGGCCCGCGGGCCGCCAGTTGAATAGCCCTGCTATATATGAAGTCATGCATGATAATAACTTGTACTTTTTCTTTACCTTTCTAACAGGTGGTTTGACGATCACGTCCTCAAAGCCGTTTTCTGCTTTTATCGTCTGGAAGTTCTCGTGAAGTATGGCGATCTTYTTCTCGTTGTCCCACCCTGACGGACTAAATAGAGGACACAGAGCGTTACGAATCAAATATATACGGCTCCACGCTGCCTGGAAGATACGAGTGGAGAAATACGAGCAGGCTTACATGAAGACTGCGTCCCTTTCCACCACCTGAGCTGGACAGTGGAAAGGAAAGCCGTAGAGTTTGTGGACGAGGTATTTGTAAAGGATGTCCAGGTTCTTCATCTCCTTCACTGACGTGTAAAGCAAAGAGGCGCCGTCTGATAGGACTGTCAAGGGAAGTCTTTCAACACAATTATTCAAAACGATCAAAAGACTAACATCAGCGTGATGTGTTAACTTGTTGCATAAAAGCAACATTTTAATAACTTAAACTGACCGACCAATGCAACAAAAAATATAGGAAGTAAATAAAGAAATTGGCAGATTTTAATATATATGTATATAAGCAGTTACAATCATTAACATAAAGCTCCTGCCTGTAACAAACATTGTGCAGTGTTACTTTGCACAAAGTTGTTTCAAGGATACACTGCAGACAGAAATGTCTGATGTGCGACTGGATGAAGTCCAAGTGTTCGTCTCTGTAGTCGTGTTCCTTCTCCAATGTGCTGATGGCATCGCACTGAGGACACACAAGCAGGTGACACAATTGTCAGCAGACGGTGAGTACATTTCAAGGCAGAAATTACATCTGAGAACACACAACTGGTTGGGGCATGTGTGCGTTTACCTTGGTGCAGACCACCACCACTGGTATKCCCAGGTTGTGCGTCAGTATGTTGTTCCCTAATGGCAGCAGTATGCTCTCCTCCTCTTCGCTCCTCCTCTGCGGTGTGCTGTCCTCACCGCTGCCAGGCTCTGTGTACTCCTGAAACTGTTTTACAACTGCAAACAAGAGCGGTACGAAATTAACCAGCAATTAGACGCACGAGGGTTTATGAAAGTTGTTTTTGTTTTCCGGGTAACATTTGTGTCAAATGTACAGATTTGCTTCCTGCWAGGAGGTCTGACTCACTTTTGAGCTCGAGCTCCCGCAGCTTTTCYGGGGCCACTCTGAGTTTGTCGATGTGTTCCCTGGCAACGGCGGCCCACTTCTGAAGAGAGTCCAGGGCGTTCCACGGCCGTGACATGTCAACTGTTATCAGCAGCACGGTGTTCTCGATCGAGTCCACCGGAACGGCGACTCCCTGCAGACCTTTATGGCAAAGGTCTCCGTCTAAGACCCACGCATTGCATCTGGTGTGGTCTAAAACACAGATGAGATTACATGATTATATTACACACACCGTCAAATATTACCAATGCCATTTATAAAAAAAAAACAGTTTCTATTATAAAGTGAAAGAAGCTGCTGGTTACCATCAACATCATCATCGTGAACATTGAAGTAGAGATATTCCAATCCACGTCCTTTCATGTACTCCTCCACCCCCTGCAACTTTGCAACCAAAGTGGTCTTTCCCGAGCCCACCTCACCTRAACAGAATTAGTAAATAACATGAAGTAATTAGGATCCAACCAGTAAAAACATGTCAAATCTAGAGATTGTTTTAAAGGGATCCCCGATTAGTTGTAACATTAGATTTTATTTAATAAACTTATAAATWMWSTRWAAWAWARASWSTAAAAATACTGTAGGCTGTTTAGTTTTTATAATTTTTAAACTAAAAGTTTAAAAATATATTACACTGATGGGGCCATTTTATTCACACACAAAGCATTCTGGGTAAATGATGATGTGGATAGGTCCTCGGTGCGAGGCTGCTAGCGAGCTATATCCACCCTGAAGGTTAATCTTGGACAATATCTGATGATCGACTCTTAAATGAAACCAGAGAGCGTTGACAGAGAGGAGAAGGTAGAAATGACTCAGCCTGTAACTGAAAATATGGATGGAGGACAACAGAGCTGCTTCATGGAAGAAGAACCTCAGCTTAGCCTGTTAGCTTTAGCGTTAGCCCAGATGCTATCACCATATACAGTATATGTATTAGCTCAGCGCTACACATTCTCCTCTCGTCACTGAGGTCCTCCATCCACATGACAGAGATGGGAACACAAAAATGACTCAGCCTGTAACTGAAAATATGGATGGAGGACCTCAGTTTAGCTTGTTTGTCGCGCTAGCGCTGCGCTAATACATTTAAGGAAAAATAGCGTCAGCGCTAGCGCAAAGGCTAACAGGCTAAGCTGAGGTTCTTCTTCCATGAAGCAGCTCTGTTGTCCTCCATCCATATTTTCAGTTVCAGGCTGAGTCATTTCTACCTTCTCCTCTCTGTCAACGCTCTCTGGTTTCATTTAAAAGAGTCRATCATCAGATATTGTCCAAGATTAACCTTCAGGGTGGATATAGCTCACTCACACCGAGGACCTATCCACGTCATCATTTACCCAGAATACTTTGCGTGTAAATAAAATGGCTCCGTCCATGTTAAAATATATTTTTAAAAATTTACAAAACTAAACATCGTTCAGTATTTTTACAGTCTTTATTTTACAGTTAAAATATATTTTTATCAAATAAAGTCTAATGTTACAACTAATCATGGATTCCTTTAAAACCACTGAAATGTTCCTAACATTTCCCRTAATTTTTGAATATTGTGTCGTTGTCTACAAGCTCACAGTGTGGTGTCCTAATACCTGCAAAGATACGGAGGACAAGATGAGTCTTTAAGAGGCTTGCTTTGTTTGTGACTGGATACAAAGAAACTGTTAAACTGTTAAATGGGGGATCAATAGCTGAAATGATGCAGTGTRCATCTGCAGAGGTTTGTTTCTGCACATGTAGACTTTATCGTTGACGTAGAAGCAGAGAGCCATATTGTTACTGTAGGGTGTTCAGAAGGTCAACTCTGCATCCATTCTTTAAGTATAAACTTGAGCCGACAGGAGGACTTGCTGCATGTGAGCTAGCTGATGTTATGAACACACACACAGCTACACATAAAGGTAACACACTCTGATTATCTGAACAGAGTAGCTGGCAGTGGATTATCCCAGGTGGATRTAGGTACTTTCAAATGTTTGTGAAYATCAGCAGGASAGAAGTGACACCCTCTCTGCTTCACTCACTGGATAAAAGAAAAGTCATATAKCTTTTAGTAGGGCAGGCTTTTGTACCATGTAATCAAACCACACTCCTATTGCCCATTACTTTTTTAAAAGGTTTAAACGTTTAAGGGACCATTTTGATATTTTTATTTTTAGACTGAATAGGCCCTGCAGTAATCTATAAATCAATTCTTTTCAGTCACAAAGAGCATTTTAACTACCCAAAAGGGGTTTCTTTCTTTAATTATACAATCAACATTTTACATGCGCCAAAAGACATCTTATTTTTGTACAAATGTCACTTTCACACAAGATGGATTCTTCAGATGTATCTACAAGTACATTATTTCTATTTATAATGAATGTTTTGGATGCCTGAGTTTTTACTCACACTTTTCGTAATGTGTTGTCTTCTATGTGTTACTAGTCTTCATTTAAACCTCTCCTGTTTATTGTTTAAAAACATAAACTATAAAGATTATTTGCCTATTTAATTATTATAGGTTTATTTAAAAGAAAACTYATGGCTTTTATTATTGTGGTATATATAGCAATATTTCTCCATGCTCAAAAAGTATATCAAAATTCTCTTTTTTTTAATATCTGGACCCAAAAGCCCAACACACATAAACAAATAAATGGCATAATTAGTTCTAGAAATTAGATTTGTGGTGTTGTTGATTTTAGATTTAAAAAAGTATTTATAAAAATAATGTACTACACTTGATTAAAAATATGTGATTTATGGGTGTCTGCATCATAAGAAGCTGTTTGACTATTATATGATAAACCAGCTTGCCATACTTTGTGTTTTGTCTCTKGTCCTCTCAGTCATCCTCCTCCTATTAGCTGCTGCTAGCATCACTGGATGCTAGAATGACTTGCAGGCTTTGAGAGCGCCTGATAAGATGATGACCTAGTCTGTGTGTGTGTGCACATCATGAAAATACACCTGTTTCTGCCTCTCCTCAGCAGCAGCCAGAGGCTCCAACACAAAAGCACTGTTAGTCCACAGCCAGCTAGCTAACCCTACGGAGTAGAATTAAGCCAAGCCAGCAGGATGAAATGATCAGAAAGCAGGTCCTGGTTTTAGCCAGGAGTCTCAGTGACTGATACCCACCCATGACCAGGACATTTTTCCCACACGGTAGCTTTGATCTTGAATGGGTTGACACTTCACTCAGAATGGTGGACCTGCAGACAGAGCAGCCCCCCGTTACAACACAGCCGAGCAGGGCTCGTTCCACTCATTCACAAAAAAATGACTGACAAGCGAGAAGCTAAAGCGAGGCTCGTGCCGTTGTTGTCTCCATTCAGTCTGGTGCTGATGCTAGCTAGCCTCATTAGCATGCTAGCTGTCAAACCATCCTTAAACCCACAGCGAGTGCCCACGCTCCGAACACTATAAACACGCTTTAAAACCTAATTTCCCACCATAGGTCCTGTCCGTCATCCTCCTCTGGGTTGGAGCTCTCCACTGTGCTCTTAGGTCCAGCTAAGGTGGAGGATAATAATGCACTCCTCCCTGACGTCGCCATCTTTGCAGGGCTTGTAAACCTAACGGGACGCCCGGATGTAGCAGCAGCAGCCGCAGTGAGCTAACTGAGGCTGGTGCACCGCACAACACGCCGGGGCCGGGGCGTGGTCCCCCCCCCACCCGCACAAACATCAAATCTCTGCCACAGACATGATGAAGTGGACCGAACATCCACACACAGGTTAAATACTGGTACCACAGTGGGTCAAAATACTTCTGCAGGAAGGCACAATGGATCAGTACACATGTTTCATCAACACTGTCTGTGCCTGTTGAACTAAAAACATTCTGAGTAAATAGTAATAATAATAATAA